GCTGCCAGCTGCACTCCCTCACGGGAGCCAGACCTCCCACTTTGTAATACGGGGGTGGAACTGCCAAAGGACTTTCCAAAGGGCTGCTGTAAAGATTGCCAAGATTGAAGTGGAGCTCTCTGAACTCTCAAACTACAGAAACAGCAGATATCATTCAGGAATGCACTCTTTGGTAGTCTCCAAATTCTCTTGAACATACTTGAAGCTGCTCAATAGTGGTCCATCCAAGTCAGGACTGTCTGCTCAGACTGGGAGCAGCTCTCCAGGGTCTCAGGTGGAGGTCTTTCCCATCACCTCCTGCCTGGCCCTTTTAACTGGAGATGCTGGGGATTGAACCTGGGACCTTCCACATGCCAAGGAGATGCTCTGCCACTGAGCCACAGCCCCTCTTCACAGCTCTCCAGGGTCTCAGGCAGAGGTCTTTCCCATCACCTCCTGCCTGGCCCTTTTTAACTGGAGATGCCGGGGACTGAACCTGGGACCTTCTGCATGCCAAGCAGAGGCTCTATCACTGAGCCACAGCCCCTCTTGACAGCTCTCCAGGGTCTCAGGCGGAGGTCTTTCCCATCACATCCTGCCTGGCCCTTTTAACTGGAGATGCTGGGGATTGAACCTGGGACCTTCCACATGCCAAGGAGATGCTCTGCCACTGAGCCACAGCCCCTCTTCACAGCTCTCCAGGGTCTCAGGCAGAGGTCTTTCCCATCACCTCCTGCCTGGCCCTTTTAACTGGAGATGCCGGGGACTGAACCTGGGACCTTCTGCATGCCAAGCAGAGGCTCTATCACTGAGCCACAGCCCCTCTTTACAGCTCTCCAGGGCCTCAGGCAGAAAGGTCTTTCACATCACCCACTGCCTGGTCCTTTCTACTGGAGATGGTCTGATCCAGCAGGGCTCTTCTGATGTCCTTATGGTCTAGAACCCGTGTCCCTGATAAGCAACTTGCCAACGTCCACGCTGTTTCCTTCTCCCTTTTTAAGGGTTGAAATGTAACAGTCCTCCCCATGTACAGAACGGTACAATCCCTGCAGGTCTGTACCATACAGCCACTGAATTGACTTCTGGGCATTTCTCCGCAAAACGCCTTTTACAAATCCAGACTGATTTAATATCACAGACCTTTGTTTGCGGGGGAAAATAAACCCTCTGAACTGCAAACGCTCCCTGTCTCATCACATACATTATAAGTTTTGGTAATTACAGCGTGTGTCTGTCAATGGCCTAAATTATGCGGCCTACGCTGCAATTAAATTCTGTATTTTTCTAGCAGGATACCATCCGTGTTGTGCAATTAACACCCGAATCACAGGCCTAAGGCAGATCTGGAGCTCCTCTCGTGTTTACAAAAGCCCAGGACCCAGAGGTCGGAGCTGTGCTTGCCCTGAAACAGGTGCCAAGTATGGCACGAGGTCTCGACCCTAGAGAGGTTATCGCCCTTCATGTTCATGTCAGAACAAACGGGAGGGCCAACCCGTTTGTATTCTAGCCTAATGTTTTGTGAGCTAAGGCTCCCTCTTAGGCAAGTTCCAGCCACAAATGGACCGCAGTGACTCAACCAAGGTTGCACCCCACCAATGTTCACTGTGCAAAAATGATTCTAGCCCAATTCCAGTCCATGAATTTGCTTTTTCTTCTTTTGTTTCTTTGTTTTACATCATGCAGTGCTGCTGCTGCTGCTTCCAACAGTTGCCCTGCGACTACAGATTTCCCGGGTAAACAATCTGTTTCCCTCAATGCTTCGTCAGGTCGCTTTATACTCTCGGAGCCCATGCTCGACGTCTCCTACTCAGAATTAATCTTATTTATTTATTTATATTTATTTTTCATATTTGTATCCCGCCCTCCCCAATGGGCTCAGGGCGGCTAACAAGGGCAAGATAATAACCATGCCATAATTAAAACATAATATACATAATAACTTAAAACATATCATACATAATAAAACATCAATATTTAAAAACAACGGTGCTCAATCAACATCTGATATCATAAGTCCAAAGGTGGAATCAACGCAGTTCCAGGTGGTACTTCCCATGCTGTTTGCGCCCACTGGAGAACGGCTTACACGATCTTCTTTACAATTTCCAGGTACTTCCTCAGGGCCTCGTCAAACCATGATGGTGATGGTATAGTAGGGGCGGCGGCTCCTACTCAAAGGCCTGGCGGAAGAGCTCCGTCTTGCAGGCCCTGCGGAACTGCATAAGGTCCCGCAGGGCCCGGATCTCCCCTGGGAGCTCATTCCACCAGGTAGGAGCCGCCACCGAAAAAGCCCTGGTCCTAGTAGCAGCCAGGTTGGTATCCTTGGGGCCCGGGATGGCCAACAAATTTTGGGCCCCTGACCGTAGTGCTCTTGGGGGAACATACGGGGAAAGGCGGTCCCTCAGGTATTTTCTTGGCATCCGCTGGCTCTCATGAGCCAAAAGAAGAAGCAAATTCGTGGACTGGTATTGGACTAGAATCATTTTTGCACAGTGAACATTGGAGGGCTCCCTTAAGTAACTTGGGAAGATCCCTGTCTTCACCATCAGCAGCCAAAGCCCACACACACGGAGCAGCTGCCTTATACCGAATCGGTTCCTTGGTCCATCAACATCAGTATTGTCTACTTAGACTGGCCGTGGCTCTCCAGTTTCTCAGCTAGAGGCCTTTCGAATCACCCACTGCCTGATTCTTTAACTGGAGATGCCGGGGACTGAACCTGGGACCTTCTGCAGGAGGCTCTTCCACTGAGCCACGGCCTCTCCTATGGTCATCCTGAGGGCTAAAACACCCACAAATGCTTCCAAGAGATAATTTTCAAAAATTACATTCATGTGGCTCCCAAATAAAAGCAGGAGCGTGAATTAAGATTACGCCATTTCCGTTTAAGGAATTAAATGAAGGCATAAACTAAGAGTCGTCTCCCTGTGAACACAGGAATTTTTTCAATGCACGTGCTCAGGTTACATTGAGACTTCGCAACAAATCACGGCTTGATGAAACCCTGATTAGGCATGACCTCCGAATGCAGATGGCCAAACATTTATTGGCTGGCCTCTAACTGGGATTTCAGGATAGATTTACAGCTTCTTCGCTAACCACGGCTTGTACCAACTGTGGCTTGTTGCCACCTCTGAATTCATAACCCACCGTTTGTTCAGCAGCATGACCCTTTGTGACTGGCCAGCCAGAGAGGTGTTAGTAGAGGAAGGAGAAGCAAACAAGCTGGGTTTGCTTATGTATGCCTTCCTTCTCTTCTGGGTAGTAACCGCGGTTTAGCACTATGTGTGTATTAAGTTTAAAGCTAACAACGGTTCCTCTGGAACGAATGTTCAAAGCCATAGTTTGCTATGTGCTTGCAAACCAGAGTTTGCGGGAAACCACAGTGAGGCCTAACCTTGATACAAAGTGATGCTAAAACAAGATTAATGCCAAGTAATGAAAGGGAGAGGGGGCTTGTTCTACAGAGAGGGGAGGAAAGGGTGTGATGCCAGTTTGATGCCAGTTTGGCTCCCAATTTCCAAGCTATGGTCGACAGGGGGCATAAAGATTTCAAAAAAGAAACAGAACCATAAGTAAAATCCCTCTTTGTCCTGATCACTGATCTCCTAATGGAGGAAAAAACTGTGATTTTCCAATCCCGGTGGAAGTTCTCCCTCACTTCCTGCCCCATGGCACCCAAATGCCAACCGGAGCCAGCCCTGTGCTGTGGTGCCATGAGAAAACAATGCAGGGTGATTTCCACAAACGGAGGGACACAAAGGAACAAAGGCTTCGTTTTGCATACTTCTTCAAAGTATTCCTACCCCACCCACCCAATCATA